GTTGTAGTGGATGTAGCGGTCCCAAGTGATGGAAACATCAAAAAGAAGGAACACGAGAAACTCGAGAAATACCAAGGGCTCAGAGAGGAGCTGGAGAGAGCCTGGAAGGTAAAGGTGACAGTCGTGCCTGTGGTGGTCGGAGCACTCGGGGCAGTGACCCCCAAACTAGATGAGTGGTTGCAACAGATCCCGGGAACAACATCGATCATCTCAGTCCAGAAATGTGCAGTGCTGGGAACAGCAAGGATACTGCGCAGAACCCTCAAGCTTCCTGGCCTCTGGTAGAGGACCCGAGCTGAATGAGGGATGGACACCACCCGAGGGGTGAGACGAGGATTTTTTTTTTTTAATATGAAAACATAATTTCCATTCTTTCCATTTATGCCTCAGGTGAGATGCCAAAACTGGTGCGTGGGATGCGTCTGTTGAACCAAGCAGACCCCTGTGCCGAAGTGCTAATCCAGGAGACAGGCGAACATGTTTTGGTCACTGCTGGAGAGGTTCATCTCCAACGCTGCCTGGATGACCTCAAAGACCGGTCAGTGTCAGACTGTTTGGGTGTCATCAGAAAGTACTGTTCACTGGCATGTCTAAAATTGATAATTGGGATCATAGCTGTAGTCTTTCCTTTACGTCTATTTCAGAAAATTATTTTAAAATAGCTTATCTATAAGGACTTGTGCTTGGAGGGCTGAACGGTCACGGGTGAGAAAAACATTACAATGACAATTTTTGCTATACAGCGCGAGTCTTCATTCTCACTTCTGTTACTGTAGAGACGCCCTTGAGCAAGGTACATGTGAAAAGCATCTCCACCAATATGTTTGTTTGTATATGAAATTGAGGTTAGTAAACCACTGTAATGACTAACAGATCACTGTCGATGATGGCATTGCATCACTTTGAATTTGAGATCAGGACAACTTTGGCGTAAAAGATAAATATTAGGCAGTGAATTTTTGCTTGTGGACGTCAGACAAGTTTAGGCTTTTCACACTCAAACAGTGTACAGTTGTGACTTGAGATTCACATTAAATTTGGCCTTGACCATGCTCGTATACAAAACAGTGGTCTCAACTCATCTACCCCCTACTGAATGAATAGATCTTTTCAGCCTCCCCAAAAATTTCCAAACTTTTGCGACACGGTTTTCCTGAGAAAACTAGCACTCCATATATTATAATTTATAAAAACACAGTAATGACAAAAAATTGAATTCAATATTTTTTTTTGTCTCACCTCACTGACAGATTTATGAATGACGATTGTGCGAAGGTTGGGGGAGTAGATGCTGACCTATATTTGAGCGACATGTCCAGTTCATGTCTGAACATTTACGCATGATGTGTGCACTTGCACTCAATGTCGTAATGCGTCTCCTTGCACAAATTGAGGCCCTCACGGACTCAACGTGATCCCCACGGACAATGGGGCCCAGTGTTGCGTACTCTGCGTAAAGGGGGCGGTGGTCTTTTTTCTCCCGGCCATGTTTCATGTTTTCTATTGCATCTTCAATCCTGTGACCATCACTTTTTTCTTTTAACTAGCCAATAAAGTGTTGCCGTGAAATACCTCGATTTGGTATGTTTTCAAGATCTGAGCTGTCACTTGACCAAATTTTTGTTGTTACCAACAAAATTTTAGCTCTAAGTGCAGTTTCAACTCCTACCACTAGATAGCAACAGAACACTTTGCAAAATCCGGACACCATTTGTACAAATTGGTTTCCTTGCAGTCGAAGGCCATCATTTGGTAGTGGCAGTGTGCCATTAAGCTGGTTTGTCAACTGCAGTGATGGCAATTTTCCGCGGATACGCGGAAATCCGCCGTTTTATTTCTTAAATTGATCATTTCTGTGAATCGTCTAAATCCGTTGAGAAAATTTTAGGGGGGGGTCATGTACCTTAACGTCGAGTTTTCACGAGCTCTCCCGATCAGTCTTTCCATCTTCCGATTGTAAACAGCCCTGCGACTGGACGTGTATGATGTCTTACTTGTTGTGATTGGTCGCTATATCGGCAAATGCAAATCACAACCAATCCGTGTTCGCCTTCCTAAAGCCCTTTCTCGCGAATGCCGAATGTTATTGAGACTCGCGACGAAGCTAAAGTGCGTCAGATAGATGCGGACCTGAAAAACACGTTTCGATGGGACTGGTTGGATAGAAAGCTGACGGTCTCCCCAGTAGGAAACAGTAAAGAGGAACCATTGTGCTTGTGTCGGGGTTCGTGAAAAAGCTCGATGTCGCCGTTAAAGCTCCGTGTACAGTGTGTGACGATGTCATTCTATACGGATCGAGAGGATGGAAAGCTTTACAGAGTCACGCAACCGCGGTCAAACACCGAAAACTTACATTTCTACTGAAAAGTAACTACTCGATCTCAAGCGCTTTTCTACAGCCTGGAGCATGTGTAAAAACAAGAGGAGTTGGCTAAAAAGAGAGTGGAAAAAGACGGAGAGGACCAATAAGCTTTTAGCGCTTGCTAAAAAGCTTAAAATGAAGAGAAAATAAAGTATTCTACCTCATGAAACTGTATATTGTTGTATATACTGTAAATAGACATCCACTTTATATAATAAAATACATTCATAACCCATATATAGTAAACAGTGTGGGACTTCACTATCACTGTATGAGGTAAGAATCAACAGCTTTTTATCACATTTACACAACACTTTATGAATACAAGTAATGAACAAATCTTAAATATGGCAGGGAATGTGTTTCCTTTTTTAGTTTTGATTTTGAGCAGCAAATTTGAAGTTACATATTGGTGCTCACCAGGAATGCATAGGCAAAATTGCACAAATTTTCACTTGAACGAATAGTGAACAATCTTGGGATTTTTTCTGTTCAAGTTTCAAATAGTGTGTAAATTGAATACACTTCATCTTCAGCATGTTTAGTGCCACTTTGGTA